TTTGATATCTGATACCTGATTCTGCTGACACCTCATGATCACACAGGCTGGTGTGCTTCTTCCATGTGGGCTTATTTACTTCCCTGCCAGATGGGCGCTTGTTTAACTCCAAGCCTTTCTGTCCCCAGACACTCTATCTTTTCATAGCCAGGAACCATCCAACTTCTTCACCACATTTGCTTATACACCCATTTTGTCTTCAGTGATCATGTCAGGAAGGTAAGGTGAGTGTCAAAGAGTGCCAGGTTATTAGAACAAAATGTTCTTGTGTTTAGAGAGGCCTTGAGTAGAGGACCAAAGTCGGTCTGCTATCTTAATACTTAACATATAAATATATGTACACTGGCTCTATCCCTTTCATTATAAATTAATATATTTACATATATACTTTTCTTCATTTATCATGGACCTATTGGTCCAATTGCGAAGGGTTGGGTCTTGTTCATCTTGAGTTGTGATCCATAATTGTGGTAGTTACCTTGTGGTGTCAACTTGTGGAGGGGTAGAGTCTAGCCTGTTAATCAGGTCACAGCTTGATGACCTCATTTGGAGGTGCTAAGCAGATAAATAGCTCGCTGGAGGTGGGACAGACACTCACTCCCTGTGAGACATTACAGATGAGGAGCCTGATGAAGTTATGCTGATACAGCCAGAGCCCTGGAGCTGAAGGAGCCATGTGGAGACCCACGCCAGTGCTGAGATGCTTCTACGGCCACTGGATCCACAAGACTTTCCACCCACTGGCTGTGTTCTTCCTGCATTCGGCATCATTGTATGTGATGCGTGAGTCTTAAGAAGAATTTACAGACTGGTACTGGACATATAGGCTAATATCTGACTTACGGACTTGATCTGGACTGGGCTGGGATGTTTTCTCAATATTCAATTGCTCTTATATATAAAGCTCTTTCTTATGCACATATGAGTGTCTATGAATTTGTTTCTCTAGTCAACCCAGACTAACACAATACTGAGGGCTGCAATCCTTGATCTTTATCAGCAAGTGCTTCAATTCCTCCTCATTTTCACCCAGCAAGGTGGTGTCATTTGCATAGCGCAGGTTGTTAAGAAGCCTCCCTCTAATCCTCATGTCACGTTCTCTTCATACAACCCAGCTTCTTGGTGATTTGCTCAGCACACAGATTGAATAAGTATGGTGAAAGGATACAACCCCGATGCACACTTTTCCTGATTTGAAACCACACAGTGGTCCCTTGTTCTCTTCATACAACTGCCTCTTATTCCATGTACAGTTTCCTCATGAGCACAATGAAGTGTTATGGAATCCCCATTCTTCTCCAATTTACCCTTAATTGTTATTAACCACACAACCGAATGCCTATGTGTAGTCAATACAGCAAAGTAAACATCTTCCTGGTATCCTTTGCTTTCAACCAAGATACAGCTCTCATCAGCTGTGAGACCCCTCATCCCATGTCCCCTCGTGAATCCAGCCTGAACGTCTAGCATCTCCCTATGGAGGTGCTGCTGCAGCCAGGGTTGAATGGTCTTCAGGAAAATGTTACTTGTATGTGACATTAATGATATTGTTGGATAATTTCTGTATTCTGTTGGGTCACCAGACCCAATGGAATGAGTGGAATGAGTGCAAATATGCATCTCTTCCAGTCAGTTGACCTGGCAGCTGTCTTCCCAATTTCTTGGCACAGGTGAGTGACTGCCTCCAGTGCTTCATGCACTTGTTGAAACACTTTTATTAGTATTCCATCAATTCCTGGAGGCCTGTTTTTGCTGATCTTCTCAGTGAAGCTTAGATTTCTTCCTTCAGTCTCATGGGTTCTTGATCTTATACTACCTTTCGCAATTGTTGAATGTCCATTAGTTTTTTGTTTTCTTTTGGTACACTGATTCCGTGGATTCCTTGCGTTGCATTTTGTTATGTGCACCTAGTTCGTTGCTTCATTATTCATAATAGCAAAAATATGAAAACCATCCATGTGTCCATCATTGGGTGACTCAATGGACACAATGTGGTACGTACATGCAGTGGAATAATACACAGTGATGACGAATAATGGCTTTCATTGTGTTGTGATGCTCCCTGCAACATTGAATATTTTCCCAGAGAACCCTTCAGTATTTCACCCCAAGGCTCGAAGGGTTTCTTCAGTTTGGGGTTGTTTTTCAACCTGAGACATGCTGAGGGTGTTCTTCTGTTTCTGCTTTATTATCCAGCTGTTTACACATTTCATTATAATGCTTATTTTGTCTTCAGGAGCTGCCCTTTGAAAGTTTCTATCCAGCTCGTTTACTTCATCATATATTCCACTTGCTGTAGCTAATTTACATTCAATAGCAAGTTTCAGAGTCTCTCCTGGCATCCACTTGGCTCTTTTCTGTTTCTCTTGTCTTCAGAGAGACCTTTCGCTCTCTCCATGTGGATGCTTTCCGTGTCATTCCACTGCTCCTTAGTTAGTGTTCAATCAGCCAAATGTGTTCTTGGGATGGTATACCATCACAGGCAGCTTTACACTTCCAGACAGGTCTTGAAATGTTATTTTGGACGATGAATGTGACACCACGCCTCTTGACGTTGTCATTCCTGGCATGGTGAATCCTATGATTGTCTGATTCAAAATGGTCAGTCCTGATCTATGTCAATGACTAATGCCTAGGATGTTGATCTCCGTGCACTCCATTTCATTTTTGACAACTTCCAATTTTCCTAGACTCATACTTCTCATTCCCTATGCCAAGGATTGATGGTGTTCGCAGCTGCTCTCATTTTGAGTTAGGCCCCATCAGAAACGAAGGCCCTGGAAGGTTTGCTGCATGCACTTCCTTGTGGTTGCCTCTACTTTGAGGAGGCAGCTCTTCCTGAGTCGTCCGTTTTGAGTGGCTTTCAACCTGAGGGGCTCATCTTCAGACGTTCTGTCTGACAGTGTCCCATTGCTACTTCTAAGGCTTTTATGAGTCAGACTCACAGTGCCCTGAGAAGGCAGAGTAGAATTGCTCCATTGGTTTCAAAGACTGTAAAATCTTTATAAAAGTTGACTAGCAACGTTTTTTTCCCACAGAGCAACTGATTGGCTGAGATGGCAGCTAATCAGCTGGTGGCCAGGCTCTTTGATGTTCTTAATTTTAGCTGTGTATGTGTTTTTGTTGTTTAGTTAAGGATGGGTTGTGTTCCTTAAGAAACCCTGGTGGCATAGGAGGGTACCAGGGGAAAGAGAAGGTTTTCTATTACTGTAAAGAGTCTTAGCCTTGGAAACTCAAAGGGGCAGTTGTGTTCTGCCCTACAGGGCTGCTCTAAATCAGAATCGACTTGATGTCAGTTAGTTGGGTGGGTGGCAGTACTTTATAGCAGCAATTGGTGATTTGTTCCTCTCAATAATTTGTTGTAGGCTCTCGGCAGCGGTTACTCACAATCTGAGTTAAAGTAGATTCAGGTGGCATTGCAGGTCATCGCTGCCATTGACACCAATTGTATTCATCCCCAAACCCTTACCAATAGTACCTGTTGATTAGAAAATCACCCCTGTTACTGGTTGTGTGCATATAATTTCCTTGCTGAAGTTCTCTGACAATACCATGCCATCAAACCCACTGCCATCAAGCCAGTTCCAACTCTGAGGGATGGAGTGTCCAAGGCTGTAAGTCTTTACGGGACCAGCCAGCTGTATCCTTTTCCCATGAAGGAGTTGCTGGGTTTGAACAGCTGATCTTTTGGTTAGCAAGCTTCTACCATATATAAAGCTGCTTTCTTTTTTTCATTGAAGTGTTATCCCTGTGACATTTGATTTTTGCAGACATAGCTTGCTGCCTTTTGGCTAGCAGCTAAACATCCTTAAAAGGGTGTTTATTGAAAAGCGCTTTGAATATCCTTTTGTTTGCACTCTGATCCTGTAGAAAGTGGCAGAGCATGAGGGAATGGAGCAAGAATGGAAAAGGAACTCGGGCAGTGTTTCCTTCCCAAAGTAGGGAATACCACCCCCTGCTGTGGGGGAAGCAGCATGCAGGAATGATCCAGGGAAGATGCCAAAGGAGATACCTGGATCTTATCCTGGATTATGGTCTCTCATACAAAAGATTTTAATTGCCAGCGGGGTATGCAGTCATTTTCTTTTTTTCTGAAAAGGGGGCAGAGGACATTTCTGATTTCAGCATGTGTCATATCTACTCACTTTTCTACCTCTTGTACGGGTAAAACTGAGATGAATTTGGCGGTCATAAAATTCTTTGAACTTGTATGTGCTATTGAAATACTCAGAGACACAATTCTCCACTTGTTTGGTTTGATTTTTATTGGTTTTTATTACTTTTCTGGAGCTTTCGATCATAACCATGAAGTAATTTAGAAATTGTCCTATCACCTGTGACAGCTCGTAGCAGAAGTCATTGTCTTCCCTTTCCAGGAAATGCTTCCAGACAGCACACTTTTATTTAGAGGACAGTACGTCTCCTCGAGTCATATCCACACCTCCGACACCTATCTTTCCAATTTCAGGTAATCACTGAGTGTAACTGTTAATGCCTGTTAGATGTTAAATGAAAAGCACAATGTTAGAAGGCTCATTTTGATTGGGGTGCTTTGAAAATGACCACCTTGTAGTTTAGTAAATATTGGTGTTGTCCAGAATATTTAGTAGATCAGATGTCATACACCTAGCTTTATATCCTGTTCTCATTCATTTTGAACATTCTGACTCATTAACTTTGAGCTTTCTTAGCTATACAGATGATACTATTTTTAAGAACGTAAAATTCTTTGGGTACACTAGGTTAGAGAACACAAAAATTGAAAGCAGTGCTATATTACTTAAGAATCCTACTGCCTTTTATGGATTTCTAATACATAAAAGTCTTCCATGATGCTAAATCAGTGAAATAAGTGTAGATAGAAGAAAAAAACAAAATAAGAGTAAAGTCCAGATCCTTTATGTAAGAAAACAGTTCCAAACTACACTAGGAAGAAATAAAGTGGTGGGAGTAGTTGTGTGTGGTTGGGCGGGGAATACAAGCACAAAGAATGGGTGGTTGACTGACACTTAAAGCCAAAATGTTGAATGGTGATTGTCTGGGAAAATATTGACTATTTTTATCATAATTGGTTTTGAGGTTAGCATATTCAAAACCTAGTTGGGGTTATGTTGACTAATAAACTCATTGACTCTAGAGTTGACATTAATGAATATCAGTGGTACTTATCTAATCAACATCTTATAAAAGCTAAAAAGGGAGTTGTCTGGAAATATATAAATGAGGGCAGAGGTCCTAGAGGATATGGGGTGAAACAAGGCCAAACAGAGTCACCTAACCAGAGTCCAAACGCAGACATTCAACCCTGCTCATTTTACAGAAGCCTCTGCTTAAATTGCCTGGTGTTTACATATCATTGTGAGAGCCCCAAGATCAACATGATGTCAGCGTATGCAATCTCCTGACCTTAAGATAGAAAGATGGAGATGTGGGTCGTAGATGACATTAGAATTCATGTAACTCCTATTGATGTGGTATGTAGATGAAGCCTATTTATAAGTCAAGGGACTCAAAAGGCAAGGTTTTTCTTATTTTCTCATTTATCAACATATGTGGGGTTTCGAAGACTCCATGGAACTAAGGAACTTAAAAATCATGACATTTTCCCACTAGCTTTGAAACCCCCTCGTAAGTGCGTACCCACAGCTATTCTGTGAATTTCTGTTTTCTCCCTTTTTATTAAAGGCTCTAAACTTATTATCATAGCGCACCATCTCTGAGTAACGTGTTTAGCATTTTGAGACTGTCACCTGTCAGTTACCTGTTGGACTTTGATTCCCATCACTTTCAAACACATTTCTTCTGCACACCCATAAGCGTGGGCGTGCAAATTAGTTCCAGTCTTTTCCCACATCCAACATAGTTTATGATAACCAGCTATTCTAATAATACTATGTTAGGGCCTTATCCAGGAATTCTAATATTCTCATTTTGAGGGTCTGGGGAGTAATAATGCTGTCACTTTTCAATAGCATTGCTTGAAATGCTGTGTACCTGCACACTTTCCAAGATTGACTCCGGATCGCCTGAATGTGCACATTTTCATGTCCAACCCCACAATGAGAATATGTCTCACTTTCTCGCAGACCAATGAAGAGGAGAAATTACCCAAATATTTCATTGTTAATAGTCAGTCTACTTATAAAAGGAGATTTACCATGTGGTACAGTATCAATGAGTGATTGAGGGACAGAAACTGGGAGATTTAATGTTTAGGTGTGACAAATTATGTCTGTGTTTGTATCTAATTATAAGAGCTACTTCTAGGCAAGATCTTTCTGTAGGTGTGAAGGTGGAATTACACCTTTGTCTAGTGTTTCTTAAGCTTGGCTGGCTAATTCAATTTTAGTATTCAGGTCCACTCCTTTAAAAGAGAGAACAGATGGATTCTAAGTTTTTTTTAATCAACAAATTCTTGGTAACCGAAGCTTAAAAAATATTAGATGGCTTAAATGCTGAACATCTGTTGCTGTAAATAACTGTTTCTACTGAAATGTATTTGATGTCTCCTTGCCAGAGGAATCGCTTGTGAAACTGCATGCTGCGAACTAGTAATATGTTTAATCTACGAACGTCTTTCCAGGAAAAGGGGGAGAAAAAAAAAAAACACCACTTAAAATAATCTGGCCCCTTCACAATTAATTAACAGATCAAATGACTTTGTTTACATAGCATATTTTCAAATAAAAACTCTTGAAGTTTTACAGATTAAAAGTCCCAAAGGTTTTTGACATCATCGTTAATGAATATTTTGCATATAAATGTTTTCTCTTATTTATGGCGAGAGGGAAAAATGCCTTCAAATGCAGCCATCTGACTATTTGACTGTAAGGCATTAAAGTGTGCAGCTTAATCAAACTGAAGTTGGATGCATAGCATGCTTATTCTGTGGTGAAACTGAAACCGGGTTGTGTCTGTGTGGTTTGATTTTTCCAGAATTTTACACACCACCCCCACTCCTGCTGAGACAGGATTCATAAAAACAGGCAGCCCATTGAGAAGGAGAGGCTTTGGGTGGCATTTACAGCTAACCATCCACAATGAATTGTTTTCTCTTTAGAATATGCATGGAAAAGGCATTCTTGGTGAAGTCAGATTTCTAAACTCCTGGTTGTGATTAAGAGCCCAGGTAGAGAAGGCTGTTCACTGTCACTTAGTGTTTCATTACCTGGTGAGTCAGAGTCTGGTCAGTGATTCTCAAGCTCAGGTCCGCCCCACTATGTGAGCGCTTCCCACCGGCCTGCGATCTGTGGGACTGGAATCCCGAGAATAAACCAACTTCTCAGTTGCTTTCAGAAATAGTACTTTGTAGATGAGAGGGGCTGCCACTTCTTGTGAAGTATCCTTCCTGATATAATTGTCTTTTTCCTTTGCTTAGATGACATTGGAGCAATTCCAATAAAGCACTTTCCAAAGCAAGTTGCTGATTTACATGCAAGTAATGGGTTTACTGAAGAATTTGAGGTACGATGATTCCAGTATGTTTGTTTAAGGTAACATAGGAAGCCGTCCATTGACAGGAATCAACTGGAGGCTATTACATGACCTTCAGGCATTGAACCCACTTGCATTTCTAGAGAAAGTCTTAATTCTGTGCTCATCCATGTGTCCTGTTGTGTTGTTAGTGTGTGGTTGTCATATAATTTATAAAATGGGTTTTAATTGTAAAAAGCCAAGTTGTATGAGTGAACAAAAGGTGTTTTGTAATTATTAATTCTCCCCCCTTAAGATACAGATCTATAGCATTTTAATTTCAATTCATCGCAGTGCTTAGTTTTCACTTTGTGAATAGTACATAAATTATATTAAACTACTAAATTTCATGATATTCCACCAAAGTACATACAAACTCTCGTAGGTAGCATAGCTTTACCTATAAATGTAAGATCATTTAGATCATGTATCACATCAGGCAAAAATGACAGCTTCTCAATTTCGAAAACCATTTGAACTTTCCAGAAATATTTTTGATATCAAGGGAAGAGAAATTTACTGAAGATTTGCCATGGCCCACTGAAGTACCAATCAGTTAAACAGATTTAAAAACCAAAATAGGAGTCATAAACTTAATAATTTTAAAACAACATTGCTGTAGAATTGATTCGGACAGAGTGGGATTGCTCCATAGGGTTTCTGGGTCTGGAAATCTTTCCAGAAGCAGATCACCCATCTCATTCTTCTTTCACAGTGGTTGGGGGGGTTTGAACCGCAGACTTTTCAGTTAACAGCCAATTGTTTAACCAGGCCTGCAACCCCAACCAAATAAAAGCTAACATTCATTCATGCGCCCATACCTCTCACTGCCTTTGAGCCACTGCTGGCTCATCGCAGCACTACAGATCAGAGCACAACGCCTCTGGATTTCTGAGGCTGTCAGTCTTTATGGGAGTAGGAAAGATTATCTTTCTCCAATGGAGAGGTGGTTTTGAACCGCTGACTTCGAGGTTTGTAGCTCAACTCCAAACCCATTATGCCACCAAGGCTCCTCAAGTCACACACTGGGGTTGTTGTTAGGTGCCACAGCAACTTCCGTACAACAAAAAGCCCTGCCCAGCCCTGTCCATCTTCCCAATTGTGGTTATGCCTGGGCCCATTGCTGCAGCCACTGTGTGGGTCCACCTTGGTGAGGGTCTTCCTTGTTCGCAGCCTCCCTCCTTTACCAAGCACGATGTCCTTTTCAAACATTGGGGACATTAATGAGCAATAGATAACTAGCGGCAGGCCTGAAATTCCAACTCAAGTCTGTGAGTCCATAACTCGTGCCCTTTCCAGTAGGCAAGCCTCTTTGCCTCTCCCTACTCCCTCTACCCACCCCCACCCCCACGCCCAGGTACTCGATGGGCCACCTGCTTTAAGCATTGAGTCCACTGAAAACTGAATCTGAACAGAGGTACTAGCAATTCACCAGTGTGGTGTGGGTGTGGTTTGATTTCAGGATATGCCTACTCAGCACCATCGAGTCTATTCCAATGCATAGAAAACCCACGAAAGGTTTCCAAGACTGGACTTCTTCTTTTTTTTTTTTTCTTTTTTAACATTTTATTAGGGGCTCATACAACTGTCATCCCAATCCATACACACATCAATTGTGTAAAGCGCATTTGCACATCGTTTCACAAAACATTTTCTCTCCATTTAAACCCCCGACATTAGGTCCTCATTTTTCCCCTCCCTCCCCGCTCCCCCCTCCCGCATGAGCCCTTGATAGTTTATAAATGGGTATTTTGTCATATCTTGCCCTGTCCGACGTCTCCCTTCATCCACTTTTCGGTTGTCTGTCCCCCAGGGAGGAGGTCACACACAGTTCCATGTAATCGGTTCCCTCTTTCCTACCCATTCTCCCTTTACCCTCCCTGTTTTGCCACTCACACCACTGGTGACTGGACTTCTTTATGGGAGCCAATAGCCTCATCTTTCTGGGACTGAGATGGCTTATGGGATAGCTGGTGGGTTTGGACAGCTAACTCTGTCCTTAGCAGCCCAACACTTGCCCAATATTGCCACCAAGGATACTTAGGATCCTTGCTTAGAAAAGGAAAATACCAGAAATTAGAAAATTTTAAGACATCAAAAGAAATAGGAATAAAGTGTGTTGAGCTTTTTGTTTTGTTTTGTTTTGGGGGGGTTTCCCACTAACTTAACAACAATAGAAGCTTAACATAAGCCTAAAAGAAATCTAACTCACAGTTGCACTGAGGAAGAAAGCAGTGTGAAGTAACACTGAAGTAAAGAGGGATGCTCTGAAGAATAACATATTGAGAGGATCAAATCACTTTTCCGACCGTAAGCGGGCTGTTACTATCTGTGTTACATGTGAACACAGAGGCGCTATCAGGCTAACACCAAATCAAATCATAATTGAAATAGCCAGCCTGTCTCATCTTCCAAGTGTTAAAAACCATAAGTAAAAATAGGACTGCTTGTAAATAAGAGTCACAGACAGCAAGTGCCCAATGACAGATTCATGGTTGTCAAAACTATTAGATAATTCTGAGTATTACTAAACCACTGATAATATAAATGAATCAAATGACCTCCCATTTTTACACAGAGGTTTTTTCTTCATCCCACGGTTTTTAACTCAAGCCCGACTAAATAAATAATTTCATTAACGTCATAGTTTTCTTAATAACTGATGATGCTACGTCTTGTAAGTGGCTCACTTAGTAAGTTGCTTTGAAGCCTGGAGAGCGATCATTTGTTGGGAAGTGTCTGAGAAGTTTGTGTGGTGGGGTGAGGGGGTTGCGTCCGATGCTGTTTGAGTCATAGAAGTACTTTATCGAAAGGGTCAAAAGGTTGCTAGGGCTTTCACAATGTTTAATAATTGTCATAGTGTGTTCAGATAGAAATCATCTCTGCAGAGAATTTTAATTCATCGTAACTGAGAATTGGCAGGAATCATTTCTCTGTGAACCAACAGAAAGCTGTGCTCATTAAATACATACTTATACATAAAGTTTGTTTCAAAATGACATGATATGTAGAATTAAAAAATTCAGGAGACTTAAGTATTTTGATAGCACTAGATCTACCATTATAAACTAACAAGTCACTATTGACTCTTTAAAATTGCTCAAGAGACAAAAATGGGTCACTCATTCAGAGGTTCAAAGAGTGCTGTAGTGGTCAAACAGAGTAGTTAGAAAGTAGAAAATTCACACTGTCCCCATTTAAAAATGTCTTTGTTCTTCTTTTAAATCATTTTAAAGTTCCAAAATGGGACGAGGCTTTGATGTGCTTGCAACTGTTTGATAGTATTGGATAAATGTATTTTTTGCATGATCGTGGTTTTCCATTGTAAACCTAATGTAAACACTTTTTTTTCTCATTTGTCGTGTGCTGTGGAATATGATTTCTTTACTTTTTTGGCATTCATTTCCTCATTAGACACTGAAAGAGTTTTACCAGGTAAGGCATGATTTCACTGCATTCTCTTTTAGCAAAGAAGTAGTTGTAAGATGTTAAATAAAAAAAAAAAAACTTTGATATTTTGATAGATTATTGCTTTTCTCCCTTGTTTGAAGGCACTCTCTTTGCCAGCACGCAGCTCACAATGGTGTCCCTGCGATTTCTTTGCAGGAAGTTCAGAGCTGTACTGTGGACTTAGGTATCACAGCAGACAGCTCCAACCACCCAGACAATAAGCACAAGAACCGATACGTTAACATCGTCGCCTGTAAGTCCGGCCTCAACTCAGCTCCGTCACCACTGCGACTGCGGGCCTTTGCAGCGGTGACCTGACACGGCTGACAGAGACCTGAAGCATAGCTCTTCCAGGACCTTTGCATCAGGGAATGAGACCTGTGCTGGATAGATAATGCATGGCACCCTGCCCCTCAAAAACATTCTCTGCTTCTTGGCATGCTTTTCTTTCCCACGAAATCAAGCCCATGTTAATCCAGTCCCTTCCTCCAGCCCATCTTTGCTTGGGGCTTCCGTCATTATGTATGTTCCATGATCTTAATCTAACTGACCCCATTGCTTTCCAGTCAATTCCTAGTCATAGCAACCTTGGCACGCACTCATCCATGCCTCATCCATTCGCTGCCATGGGGTCAGTTCAGGCTCATTGAGACCCACTAAGGTATAAGGACAGGGGAGAACTGCCCTTATGGGTATCTAACACGGTACCTACTCTGACCCATTCCCTTCTCCTAATGGGGCTCCTCCAAAGCACTTGAGCCCCACGGAAGAAGTGATTCCCAAACCCCTCGTTCCAACTAATTGGAATGATCGCGAATGCATCCATGGTCATCTTCCTCCATTGTCGCGGCGGAGCCACGCCCTCTCTTCTCGGACGGCTCTTGTGGCTGGTAGTCGTGCCTCCTTGTGGTGCTTCCCTTGAAAGATGTTAAAAAGAGCTGTGATCATGCTCAGAACCTTCCCAAGCACTCTGCTGCCGCCTTCTCTGCCGCCACCCCCACCCCCACCATGTCCTGCCACCCTTCCCTAGCTTCCTGGGTCCGTCACGTTTCTTCCCCACGAGGAGCTTCACCGTTCACAGTCCCAGGACCCACCTTTAAAGCCTGGTCCTTGAAAATCTAACTAAGATGCCAATTTTATTCCAATCTCGATGGCATCTTTTGTCATTATCCCCAACGAGTACACGTTTTGTTTGCATATCTCCCTGGCACTTAGTACCTCTCTTTTGAACCCTGGGCTTCATTTTATGTGCATCTGTCCTATTCTCGACAGCGGGGACTTTTGATAGGTATTTGTCTTGTGTTATCTCTGTCATTCTGTAGCCTCAAAAGGCCTATTGCAGGAAATTCTTCTCTACGTTGATTTTAGTGCTAGTTGATAAGTTATTATGCACATGAAAATGACCTTTGTTGTACTAAATCATGGCCTACTGCAATGATAATGATTTCTCCCTTTGTTTCTTTATTTTTATTTCAGATGATCATAGCAGGGTTAAGCTTGCACAACTTGCTGAAAAAGATGGCAAGCTGACCGATTATATCAATGCCAATTACGTTGATGTAAGCATGCTTTGATTTTAAAGTTTATGGAAGTAATATCAATCTAGGGACTTGCTATACCACAGTGGCATGCATATGCTAGTGCTTAGTACGTGCGATTGAATGGTTAATAACAAGTACACATCAGCAACTTATAATGTTTACGAAACCTCATGACCAACAGGATTTGGATTGACTGACTGACACTCAAGCTATTGCCCTTGGTTTATCTGTTCAAGTTGCAAATGTATGCTTGAGTCAACCCCGACTCATTGCAACCTTACAAGACAGCGTAGACCTGCCCCCAGAGGGTTTCCAAGCCTCCCCCACCTCACCCCCCAGCCTGTAATGTATATGGATGCAGACTGGGTTGACAGTTACTATGATGAACAGCAGTGTCCATGCTTATTGTAAATATCCCATCACTCCTAGCACAAGGCTGCTCCTGTGAAAGATGTTCAGTAAACGTTAAGTTATTGTCATCATTGAGTCCTGCAGTCTCACTGAGACCCTGCAAACAACAGAACAGAACATTGCCTAGTCCTGTGCTGCCCTCGCTAGCTTTCCTACGTCTGAGGCCATGGTTGAAGTGCAGGGTCAAGCCATCTCATTGAGACGAGTGGTGGGATCAATAAATAGTGACCAATATCTTCCCATGAAAATGCTGACGAAAAGGCAAACAAGCAATTATTAAACCAGGTATCAGCCTTTCCCATCTTGGGTATTCTTCTGGATGCCCTGGCTTTGTGACATTTATCAGAGCTCGTCAGAGACCTTTAAACCACTGTGGTTAATTGAAGGTCAGCTGCACGCAGCCTTCCCTGACTCGGACTTCTGTCTAGTTGCCTTCGAGTTACCGCTGGATGGGAACACTGAATTCAAAGAAGCAAGTAGTGGGCATCAGTATAAAGTGGGTTGACTGTAGGGACGCGCTTCTTGCTCTCAGACAGGGCCATGCACATGCCCCAGGGCACATGGGTTTGAAAGCGAGAGCTGGTTTTGACTGAGCTTGTCTCCTGGCTAGCGGGGGATCTTGGAAAGTCACTTCGCTCGTCTGAGCTTCAGTTTCCTCTTCTCCAAATGTGGGATGCTGGGATTGGGGTTAATGTTTATACAGCATCATGACCAAGCCTTAGTGCTCAGCGACAGATAACTTAGTGATTAGCCCTGCTCAGTGCGCCTCCATTGAGGCCCCAGCGCGAGCAGCCGCCTTACTGCTGTAAACAGTGGAGCCCAAGGTCTCAAGCGCATTTCCAAACAGCACCATGAAAGACCAGATGCCACGCTTAGCAAATCAATTTGGGTTCAATGCTCTTGGACTAAAGGCACGAAGGACGGTGGTTCTAGCACAGCCAAGGCAAGTTTCGAGTTACGAAAAGCAGAGTTGTACAAGAGTGAACAGTTATCTTGGCTGGAGCTGCCAAGCTTCTCTCGCTTCACACATTTCCAAGTGATGGTTTTCTTTGAAAGAAAAAACGAGCCTTAGTGGGGGTGCTGTGTAAGCGCTGAGCTGCTAACCACCAGGTTGCCGGTTCAAACCTAACAGCTGCTCCACAGGATTTCAAAAGATGTAACTGACTGCTCCCTTAAAGTATCACAGCCACAGAAACCCTCGTAAGGTCGCTGTGAGTCACGTTGACTCAATGGAAATGAGTTTCGAGAGAAAAAACGTGCTTACCGTAAAGCACTTACATATTGTGCAGTCAGAAGGGCATGTATGTCAGATACTAAGAAACGTTTGGCATCGCTTCTCGGCCTTTTGGCTAAGATCAAGTGAAGAAACGTTTGGCATCTGTCGTTTCAGGGCTACAACAAGCAGAAAGCATACATCGCTGCCCAGGGCCCACTGAAATCCACAGCGGAAGATTTCTGGAGGATGATATGGGAGCACAACGTGGAAGTGATCGTCATGATAACGAACCTCGTGGAGAAAGGAAGGGTACGTGGGTAATCCTGCATCACCCCTCCCGGGGAACACTGGGAGAGGCGTGCAAGTTTGGCAGAGTTGGTGTTGGGAGCAGTTAACGTGATGAAAGCCAACGGGCACTGGGTTCTTGGAACCATGGGACCTGACGGGCAACGGTTAGCATCAGGGGTTGAAGAGCGTCACCATGCCTCCAGCTGCACACTGAACACTGATGAGAGGGATGTGGCTTTCGGAATTGCAGCGTAGAGTGCTTTCCACTTCAGTGCTCGGGGCCTGGGTCCTAAGCCTGGCTTGGCCTTTCACTGGTAACTTAATATGCTTCTCCTCCATGGTCTCACCTGGAAGGGCAACATCTGAACTAGATTATCTCAAATCTCTTTCAGACCAGGCTTCTACCCCGTGGTCTCACCTAGGACTAAACAAAATGAAATGAAAGTAAGGAGCCCTGGCCGTGCAGGGACTATGCGTTGCACCGCTCACGGCGAGGTTGGAAAGCACCAGCGATTCTGCAGAAAGACGAGGCTGTCTACTCCAGGGAAAGACTGTCCTCTGGGAAGCCCAGAGGGCGGGGTCAACCCTGCCCTTCAGGGGAACTAACAGTCAGAATTGACTGAATGGCAGCGAGTTTAGGGGAGGAATCAGAATGGACTTCAGGACAGTGAGTTTGGGGTTTCGTTTCTGGTTTGGGGAAAAAAATAAAGTATTCAGGAAAGTGAGGAAGCCCAGGCCTCTCCCTGGCCCAGACCTTCCCCTGGGTCAGAGACGGCATTCCCTGTGAGCCTTTGAAATACAGCAATGACACCTTCGCTTGGCCTTTTGCAGAGAAAATGTGACCAGTACTGGCCTGCTGATGGCAGTGAGGAGTTCGGCAACTTTCTGGTCACTCAGAAGAGTGTGCAAATGCTTGCCTACTATACTGTGAGGAGCTTCACTCTAAGGAACACAAAGATAAAGAAGGTGAGCCAAGCCATAATGAATATCAGTCATTGATATTGGCCAATTGATTGTCACATTTCTATCACTCGTTTTTACTGTACCCATGACTAGTTACGATCGATAAGATAAATTTTGTATCACTAGTACATTTCAAGCCCAAAGACTTTGTTAGATTCCTTGGGTTATAAATACCCTGTCCTTGGCTTCGCATGAGAAAGAATTCACCCTGAAGCCGGTGGTGACCCGAGGCCAGAGAAGCCCCAGCATGGCAGAGGGGCAGCAGAGAAGGAGGGGTGGAGGGTGGGGTGGTTTGAAGTTTCAGCCTTTGGGCGCTTTCCACTGGGAGGCGTGGTCAATGGTACTGGTACTGGTTGGCCAGTATTGAATTAAGCCCGCCTGGCCTAGATTGGGGCCCTCCCAGGTGTACTGGCTTCCTGTCTCAAAGGCCTGAATTTGTTCATGCCCTCTCACCTTTACTGGCTTCTAACTTCCTGTATTGGGGGAAGGGAGGCCTTAGCATGTAGAGGGACAACACTAGTTTCTGCCTCTAGCTACCTAACAACTTCTTGAGTTGTTCAATGCCAGCCATGGCTTTGGAGCCAGGCTAACCCTGATGCCTGTGGGTGTAGTGGACATGAGGTGTCAATAGAAATTCTTCTGCGCCAACACTAGTGGTAACCGCATGGGATGGCCCTGATAGCCTAATTCCAGCTTCCAACTGTAAGGAAGGAAGATGGAAATGATGGGGAAGGACAAAACCAGAACCATGGCAACATACCCTTGGGTTCCATTATGAGCCACCAATATCCGCTACGCATCCTAGTTTGCTGTTCTAGAACTGTGTGTGTGTGTGTGTGTGTGTGTGTGTGTGAGATTAACTGTCTGAACCTTTACAGGGCTCCCAGAAAGGTAGGCCGAGCGGGCGAGTGATCACACAGTACCACTACACGCAGTGGCCTGACATGGGGGTGCCAGAGTACGCCCTACCAGTGCTGACTTTTGTGCGGAAGGTGTCCTATGCCAAGCGCCACGCCGTCGGGCCCGTCGTTGTTCACTGCAGGTAGGTCTGCAGCGTGTTCCTAACCCCCTAGAATGACTATTGCCAGCAGACATCCATGAAACACGTGGTTGCCTTTTTTTTTTTTTTTACGCCAATGATTTCAGGAAGTGAGGGAGATAAAATCTTATGTCCATTTTCCAAAGTACTAGCCCCCAAGGAAGGTGCTCTGGTGGTGCCGTGGTGAATTGAAGAGTGATGGTTCAAATCCAGGGACAAAGGTGTGGTGATCTGACTCCCTAAAGATTGCCACCTTGGAAACCCTCCGGGGCAGTTCTACTCAGGTTTCTAGGGCTACTGTGACATGGAATTGACTTGGCATTTAAGGGTTTGGGGGTTTTTGGTTCATTTGTTTTTCATCCCTAGGAAATGCCAGACTTTGAATGTCATTGATCAATATTTCATAGAACCTTGTGTTTTTACAAGATTCATTGTTCAATTTTATTACTCTGTTGAATGTCAACATCTTAACTGTGTGAGGTGGAGCAATGTTTTATCAGGAAGCAAGCATTTGTTGCAGGATCTAACACCAGGGCACATCCCTGCCTCCAGGAATTAAAACATGTTGAGTTAAACCAAAAGAAACCCAACCTCAGTGTTGCGGAATCAAGTCTGACTCTTCGTGACCCTGTCGGACCGAACGAGAATGGCCCTGTGGGTTTCTGAAGCTGTAAATCTTCCTGGAATCATACAGCCTGAACGTGCACCGGGGAGCAGCTGGTGGTTTCAAACTACCGACCTTGAACTTAGCAGCCCCACTTGTTATCCAACCCTGCCAGCAGAGCTCCGTATTGTCGAGTTCCTGGGCCATGTTTATATTTGAGAAACTGACTCACAGGATAGAATCTGGCAAAATATTCTGAGGTTGTTTTTCAGTCGTTGGGACTCAGAATCACAGTTTCATTTTCCTAAGTTCTTTCCAGCATATGGCAAGACATGTGCTAGCCTTTCCTTGTTGTCCAGGTACTTGCATTTCCAATCTCAAGTTCTTTCCTTTCAAAAGAAGAGGACAAAGAAGATTTTAAATGTTCCATCTGATACATTTCAGTTGAAAGTCACTGCAAAAAACGAGCCCTTAGTGAGTGATGACTGGGGCCTGGGCTTTACCTGCGAAAGTTCCATTCACTTCCCAGGGCAATGTTTTTGTCAAAGCAATGTCAGACTGTACTTCACATAAGCAAGTGGTTTCCTTTGATAGCTTATCTAACCCACTCTAATTACCTAGCCCAGGAGTTGTCCTCAGACTCGAAGTTTGAGAAATCCATCTTGAGCCTTTTAATCTGTTAGCCTGACAATAGGCTGAGGAAAACAGGAAGATGCCGAGAAAATCCGCTCTGAAGGTCAGGAATTGTTTCTTAGCAAATGGAGAAGCACCTGCTATTGTGCAAAGCAGGTGCTAATTTTCCACTCTAGCACTTCCTACTTGCGGAAGCATTTGAAAAGAAGCCCTGGCTGTGAATCCTGTCAATAGATAATGGCCCTTTAGAAAGGACTGAAGGTATGCTTTATTCCTTAGCATCTCTCCGCAGTGATATTTTCAGCTGAAACCCTGAGCAAATTCTTTTCTCCACGAGTACTGTACCGAAAACTTTACAAACACGTCTACTGGCTGGAGAGCGCCAGGGACATTTCTTATTGAGAGTTTGGTGAAGTTGGTGTTTCTATTCTTCTCAGATTTAAATGTCTCTCCGCTCTGCTCTGATCCATAATCTCCTCACTGTGTCTGTCATACATAATGAGCAATAAGTACAGCGATAAGAAGCAGGCTGTTTTTCCTGCTTCACCCAGAGCCAAAAAAGTTAAAAAGGAAACTTTGGATTTGTGCCTTGAAGCACTGTGCCTCTGCTTAATTCTTGGTAATTTGAGATCGCTAAGTAATTTATGGTGTGACTCGTGTGCTTTGGGAAGGCAGTAGTTTTAATTAGGCAGCTAGTCAGGACCTATGTTCGGATATATATTTTTTTAATATCATTTTGTTGGGGGCTCTCACAGCTTTGATAACAATCCATACATCAATTGGATGGAGCACCTTTTGTACATAGGTTGTCATCATCATTTTCAAAACGTGTTTTGTCCACTTGAGCCCGTAGTATCAGCTCCTCTTTTTACCCCCTCCCTCCCACCTCTTCCACCCTTATGAACCCTTGATAAGTTATAAATTATTATTATTTTCATATCTTACACCATCTTCTGTCTCCCTTCACCTGCATTGCTGTTGTTCATCTCCCTCAGATCTATTTGATGCATGACATTGAACTCTTTCTCTCTTTGTGTTTGCTCAGCGCTGGAGTTGGAAGAACAGGCACGTATATTGTGCTAGACAGTATGTTGCAGCAGATTCATCAGGAAGGAACTGTCAACATATTTGGCTTCTTAAAACACATTCGCACACAAAGAAATTACTTGGTGCAAACTGAGGTATGGTAAAGAGGATACCTTTAATCATCTAAGGGTTGGGAAGGTCACAGAGCATGAAAGTTGTACAGACCAGGGATTTTATGGCCAGCCTTGGTAGGGCTGTAGCTAAGCTCTTAGATGCTAACCCAAAAGTTGTTGGTTCCAAACCACAAGGCAGCTTGTGGGACAAAGATGTGGCCAGCTGCTTCCATAAAGGTTACCGCCCTGGAAACCCAAGGGGGTGGTTCCCCTCTGCCCTATGAGCCTGAAGCAACTCAATGGCTATGGGTTTGGATTTTGAAATCTGCAAAGTCATGAAGGGGTAACTTACATTTTGTCTGTTTTGTGACCCAATGGGAAATGTCCTTAAAGTGACATAGGCCACAGAGAAGACCACCCCCAAAATAAGAATGAGTAGATCAATCAACACCCATCACTTCTAGCTAAACACTCAAGTTTTCTATACAGGTAGTGAATTAATGGATTCATTTTCTTCTTTTGAAAAAATGAATTATGCTCAAATTATATGCCCTTGAAACCATGATGGTGCTATTGGGAAAGCTATGGACTGCTGACCACGAAGTCGGTAGTTCAGACTCACTAGCTGTTTGCCAGGAGAAAGATGGAGCTATTTGCTCCTGTAACCCTGCATTCTCACTGTGAGTCAGAGTAGACTTGATGGCTTTGGGCTTGACTTTGAGGGCATAGACCCACGTGGTTCACTCATGTCTGACAGAGAACCCAGTCTGCAAATCTGTATTTGATTTTCACTCTTTATAAATAAGAAGGTGAATTTAACTAGAAAACTATGGGTGGCGTCTTGAAAGCAATAGGAAGGATGTGGCATGGCCCCTCCTTGTCTACCTGCTGAGCCGCAGGCCTTTTTAGGTTCATTCAGGCCAGAGTTGGGTCGCAAACACAAAGTCATCTGCAGCGTAGGAAAGTCTCAGAAGCATTTGTTCATCCTCAAGTGGAACCTGGGGTAAAACTAACAGATATTCATGCCGGTTCTACAGAGGTGTTTTTAGTCAATCGAGCTATAAATCTGTATTAAATATACTGTGGACTGAGCTCTGGGCAGTCCCAGTGGGCTTACAAGCTACACAATAAGAAAACCTCAGGTCATCGCTGAACTGACCTTCAAGTCAGATAAGAGCAGGGAAGGGTCCCAGACATGAAGCCTAAGAGAACGATTGAGGACTGTCTCCATACCTGATGCCATCAGGGTGATTCTGATTCATGGGAACCCCTTGTTACCCTGAATGTTACCATGGCAACCCCGGGTGACCACAGAGGAGAGCTGCTCCCCTGGCTTTCTGGGGCCGTTGTCATTCTGGAAGCAGATGACCCGGTTTTCGAGGATGCCACTGAGTGGGTTTACACAACCCGGCTGTGGGTTAGCGTTGAGCACAAGTGTCCTTACAATGGCATAGGCCACAGAGAAGGAGGCCTTGACTGTCCACAGAGAAGGAGGCCTTGACTAAATGACCCGTGACTAAGTAGAAAGCTGGAGTGCCAACAAGGAGCAGACCCACTAGAAGTGTCACCCAGGGCCGCTGAATGGATCCTCACCCACAGCACCCGGCTTTGGGCGTCAGCCATGCTCACGTAGAACAGGATGTGAAGTTGGGCCTGGGGTTGGAAAGGTCGGCAGAGAGGGTATTGTGTCACTTTCCCAAACCTTCCAGCCTCCCAGTCACCACTATCCATACACAACAAACAAAGACTTGCAGGCTGTGGTGGGCTGTCTTCTGCCTTAGCTGCCTGCTTTCCTGTCTCACTTCTG